CTTCCCATACAAAGTACAAAGCTCTTTCATTTTAACAATGGCCAAAGCCTCGATCTCCTGCCGGGTATGCCGGAAGTCATTGAGGGCCACCTCGTAGCAGATCTCCTTCACAGCTTGGATCTTCAGGTCTGAGACCGTAACCCATTTGGAGTCCTTGCTGAGGCGCCGCCGTTGAGGTATCTGATACATCTTTATAGGCTCTCGCTTCTTCCCACTGCTGGGGAGGCCACATTTTTTAACAATGCTTTGTAACTTGCTGGGGGGCAGCTTCTCTCTCAGGGAAGTGATCAGCCTCCAGCTTTCCTCACAAGACCGCTTGTCCGAATCATCCCCACTATCAGAGTCCGCGTCCTTTGGAAAACAAAAATCAAGAAGTGGCCCCAAAATAATCAAAATTAAAATTGGGGGGGAAGAAGGGGAAACACTGAATAAAAAAATGTATAAACTAAGAAAAACTAAGGAGAGAACAAACAATGCAAATACTAATTTAAATATTCCACTCTTAGGACACTAGACTCTTTAAATCCTAGGGGGATGTTCAGTTGTTTTCTTTAAATCCGGTCACACAACTACATCTCATGGAATATCTGAATCTAGTCATTCCTAGACTATTCCAAGACTGTTCACAATCCAATCCATGCGAAAGTGTTAGAAAGAATTTTACCAAATACCTGGTAAGAAGGTGGAAGCCACACTTGGTACATGCTACAAAGACGTGCAAAACACCCCAAGCACATTTTTGTCTTGGTTATTACTGCTGTGTTCCTCCAGTAAAGTCTTTCCTCCGTAGCGAGTGAACCCAACAGTCATTGTTGAATGGTCAGATGAACAGCCAGGGTTAACACTGGTTAGTAAATGCTATTCACGAAGTGCAGGAAGGCTCAGATTTAGAATCCACTCTACTAGAAAAACAGCCAGAGAGGTGTTAAGAGGATAAAGGGATTGGGGGAAAAGATTCAGAAGCAGCCAGTAAGGATGGTGTTAGAAGGAGTGTGAGTGCGGCTACAGTGGGTAAGAACTGTCCAGATCTGAAGAGAAACTGCTACAAGCAAGAAGAGTTTTTCCATTTGCCACTGATATGTTGTTTTAATATCCTTGAAGGGTTTCATTTATCCCAGATAGATCAGTGTCTTAAAGATGCACAAGTCATTTGAAAAGCAGACCCACCCAAAGGCTTCCAACTGTCTTCTTGTATTCTTAGGGTTAACTCATACCATACCAAGCCCCTTTCACCTCTACTAAACTGCAAGGTGTGCTTGGGTTGATCCACTATAAATTAGCTGCATTTTAAAGGATACCATCCCTAAGAAATCATTCTTTTCCACACCAATCTTTGATGCACAGTGAGATTTAGAAATGCTTTCCAACAAACAGCCCAGCAAAGCCTTCCAAGCGTTCCAATAATAATGGCAGTTTACTAGAGCTAGCAATTTGGGGTTCTCGCTACCTTGTGTAATGTGCTATTATTTTTCTCAGGACTTGCTTACACAGTCAGGGTTCAGAATCAGCTATCCAGATGCTCCAGCCATGCTTCCTGGCAGATTCTTGAATAATTCAGAGGTCAGGGAACTAAGAACTTGACCTATCCATTCATTGTGTCTCCACTACCGTTTGCACAATTGGTTAGAGTTGCCTAAGGGTGGAGTTTTAAGAAAATGGAGTTCCTTGCACTAGAGTGGAAACGGAAGATGCCCAAATAAAATCAACTGCATGCTGCGCTCCAGGTTGTGTCCAGAAAAAGGGTGAAAGCAACATGTTCACGATACTAGGCCTGTCACCAACTATTGCTCTTATGGGAACATTTATAAAACAACTTGCTGAACTCCAAAGCTAAATGATGATGTTTTCTTATACCCTTTCCCACTGTAATTAGCTCTAGTAATCCATATAAGAAACCAGCTCAACAGCAGGGACTTTTACTCTTCAGTCTGAAGACCAGATTTATCATAACGTTATTCTTCCTTCACTGAAGAATACCCTGAAATATGCACATAGACATATATATATATATATATTACACCAAAATGCGTTAGTCGTGGAGTCTGTAGAAAGTAAGAGACTAGGTGATTGCCTAATCCTGCCAAGTTCACAGAGATTTCTTGAACAGTCAATCTAACATTTTTCAAGTATACTTTATTCTTCCTCAGGGGGAAAACACTGCAGCAAAATTTGCGTTGGGGGACATCTAAAATTCCATATTTGGGAGAGTCCAATGGCTTTCCAGGACTTCTACACAGTGGCATGTGTTCCCTCACCACATACCTTGCAAAGGCCGGCTTGAAATGTCAATTATTACTGCCATGATAGACCACGGATGTAGATGTTTTGGTGCAGAGAGAGCTCCCAGTTTGGGAAACCATCGGTGGGAATCTCTCCCATAACCTTGCCAGTCCGGTGGCTATGCCGATGGGATTCACTGAGCGTTCGGGGGTGGTTTAAGGGAAAACGCGAGGGGGAAGAGAGACAAAGCCTGTGGTGTACATTAAGGAGTCACACGATGATAATCAGGACTTGTCTCAAACTATCAACAGCCAGGTCTGGCGGGACTCAAGAGGAGTTGGGTCTGCAAGGAGACGCCTTGACAAGAAAAGCTTCATTTAAAACAGGCATCCGACTGAACAGGTTCAAGGGCCAGAACCCTTAACCGGAAGATACCCAGGGCCATGACCAGTGTTCCCTCTAAGCTGCGTTAGTGTGAGCTGGCTCACAGTTTTTTAGCCTCCGGCTCACACATTTTTGTCTCAGCTCAGGAAGGAGGGCTCCAGAGCAAACTAATTTATGCAATAGCCAAATCGCTTGCTCACAACTTTAATGCCAGTAGCTCACAAAGTAGAATTTTGGCTCACAAGACTCCACAGCTTAGAGGGAGCATTGGCCATGACCGTAACTTGTCACCCAAAAACTCCAGTTCCACCCTAGCTGCACACCAAACTATCAGTTCCGCCTTCCTCAATCACACATTTGAAACAAAACAAACAAACATGAGGCCCTTTTCCTTCCAGTTCTGGGCAAGCGGGCTGTTCTTAGTAACAGAGAGAGGCCCATTCTCATCATCTTCTACAACCACTGACAACTGCTCTGATGGGGGGGTGGAGGTGAAGAGGACAAAAGCAACATGATACACAGCAGCAGAAACTGATGCATGGGGCTCCTTTGCCCTATGAAGCCCACTGTACACTGAACACTGAAGACCATTTCTGGGGAAGACCATTTCTGGGCCTCATAAGCAATGTTCCCTCTAAGCTGTGGAGTCTTGTGAGCAAAAAATTCTACTTTGTGAGTTACTGGCATTCAAGTTGTGAGCGAGCGATTTGGCGTCTGCATAAATTGGTTTGCTCTGGAGCCATCCTCCCTGAGCTAAGACAAAAATGTGTGAGCCGGAGGCTCAAAAACCGTGAGCTAGCTCACACTAACTCAGCTTAGAGGGAACATTGCAGTCATAAGTCTTACACATTTGGCACACCCCCAGCTTAGGGAGTGCT